AGAAGCGGCCCCACAGGAAGTGGACCTGGTCGAGCCCTGACGGTTCCACAAAAAATGAGATTGACTTCATTATGACGACCGGACGACAACTGTTAAGTGATGTCTCCGTGATCGCTAGGGTGAAAACTGGTAGCGATCACTGAATGGTTAGAGGCACACTGAACCTAAACGTCAAGTTGGAGAGATCTCGTCTAATGAAGTTAACGCTCCGTCCCCCTCGTGCTCTGTTCCAAAGTCCCGACACCTTTCAGCTCGAGTTAAAAAACCGTTTTCAGTGCCTAGAAGACTGCAATGAAGTGGACGATATGAATGACAAGCTCGTGGAAACTGTCCATGCGGTTGGAGCTAAGTTCTGCAAGACCCGCCGCAGAAGAACACAAAAACTCTCCGATCACACTCTTAATCTCATGGCTGTTAGACGGGAGATGAAGCTACATTCTTCAACAGATTTGACAGCATACAGGCAACTGAACAGACAGATCTCCAAATGCATGCGGCGGGACTTACGCAACTTCAATACAGCTTGTATTGAAGAAGCGATCGAGCGGAACCAAGGCTCCATAGTCTTTGCCAGAGATCTGTCCGCCAGAAAGAGCCAGCTGTCAAAGCTGAAGACCGAGTGTGGCAGCATCGTTTCCGGGGCGGGGAGCTTCTGAAAGCGGGTGGAAAACCGGTACTTAAAGTCCTTTATAAGCTCTTCAATTCCGTCCTTCATGTAGGCACTACTCCGGAGGCGTGAAGCAGAAGTGCGGTGGTCTTGTTCTTCAAGAAAGGCGACAACGCTCTCTTGAAGAACTACAGACCGATTTCCCTTCTGAGCCGCGTCTACGTGCTATTTTCGAGAGTCATTACGAAGCCTCCCGAACAAGCCAGTTTCCGAAAGGGCTTTAGTACCATAGACCACATACATACCCTTTGTATTGCGTATGTGGGCTATGAGAAAGCCTTTGATTCCGTCAAAATTCGGGTGGTGCTGCAGTTCCTCCAGTGTTGCCAAGTGGACTGTCGGTATATCGAACTGCTGAAGTGTTTGTACAGTAGGGCTACGATGTCTATCCGAGTACAGAACCAGAGTACGAAACCTATCTAACTGCAGAGAGGTGTAAGACAGGGTGATGTAATATCCCCGAAATTATTCACCGCTGCATTGGAAGATGTTTTCAAGCTACTGAACTGGAAAGGATACGGTATTAACGTCAATGGCGAGTACATCACTCACCTTCGATTTGCCGACGATATAGTCCTTATGGCAGAATCGCTGGAGGCCTTAAGCACTATTAAAGATGAACATGGACAAAACAGAAATCATGTTTAACGTCCTTGTCACACCTATGCCGGTAGTTGTTGGGAGCACTAAGCTCGAAGTTGTTGATGAATATATTTACCTAGGACAAATAGTCCGACTAGGTAAGTACAACTTCGACCGAGAGGTCAATCGAAGGACTCAACTCGGCTGGGCAGCGTTCGGGAGATTACGACACATTTTCTCGTTAGACATACCTCATAACCTCAAAACCAGATTGTTCAATCTGAAAAGTGACCTATGGCACTGAGACGTGGTCCTTCTCTGCTGGCCCTATGAGGAAGCTCAAAGTCGCTCAGCGGGCTATAGAGAGGGCTATGCGCGGCGGTTCTCTGTGTGATTGATTTAAAAACGAGGATATCTGCAGTAGAACCAGAGTAACCGACATAGCCCAAAAATTTAGTATGCTGAAGTGGCAATGGGCTGGCTATAATAATCGGCTCGAAGAACCGACAACCGATGGGGAAGAAAGGTTCTCGAATGGCAGCCTCTTACTGGCAGGCGAAGTGTTGTAGTGTTATGCTACTTACATATCATTTTACACTATTTTAAATTAATTTTTCCATTCTGTTTCGATTTTCTGCATTCACCTCAAAACTGGATATTTTACATCACCTTTATTTCCATAGGATCCTGTAACGATTTTAAACCATAAGAACACAATAACAAATCATTTTTACTTCGTATTTTCACACTATCAGCACTTTTAAATTGGTGTCAATGGAGTCTACCTTTTTCGATCTTTTATTTAGTTTTCCGTAACTGCAATTTCGGGCTTTGTGCGCGCTGGTGCGCTACCTTTTTTCCTATATCAATAATATCTCATTTTTCACTTAAATCTTGCCGTTTTTCTATTACGAGCCTAAAACCAAAATTTGACATGTTTTGACATCGTTGTTTATCTGGTTGTCATGACAATTATATTCAAATTCACTACCGGTCTGTTGTTTCTACTTCGATAATTCCACATAAATACTCTTTCCTCTTAGCCATTTACAAAAAATTTGCTTTTAATTTAAATAATTTTCCGTTCTCTCTAAAAAGGTATAAAAGCCGAACAATCGGTCAAGAAACTCAGTCTCGCTTCAGTTCTCAAATTCGAAACATCTCCTAAAGGCCTTATCCCGGGGCCGCACTGCCCCGGGATCCTGCAAGCCTCTGTCCTGCCTGAAGTCGCTGAGGATCCTGCAAGCCTCTGTCCTGCCTGAAGCCGCTGGATCCTACAAGCCTCTGCTCTGCCGGAAGTCACCGAATCCTGCAAGCCTCTGCTCTGCCTGAAGTCGCCGGATCCTGCAAGCCTCTGTCCTGCCTGAAGTCGCCGGATCCTGCAAGCCTCTGTCCCGCCTGAAGTCGCCGGATCCTGCAGGCCTCTGTCCTGCCTGAAGTCGCTGAAGATCCTGCAAGCCCCTGTCTTGCCTGAAGTCGCCGGATCTTGCAAACCTCCGCATTCACCCGAGGTCGTCGCCTAGAGACGCCCACACCTTCACCTACGCTGTGCGTGCTCGTTCCAGGCGCTGAGAGCACTTACTGTACACCTTGGATCTTCGGGCTCAACTTCAACACTAATCCTTTTTTTTATTATCTTTTTTTTTTAAATAATTGTAAATCACGACATCCATCCTCATCTTCATACTCCATTTTGTTATATAAAATTGTAAATATCTTTTAAATTTTAAATATATTATTTGTTTTTGTTCTATTTTTGTTGTTTTGTTGCTGTTAGGATAGATTCTTTTGTATTTAATTGTCGCTTCACGACATTTTGGCGCCCAACGTAAAAGTTCTCTTTCTCTTTTCTTCACCTTTACTGCGCCTTGTCCATTCCCTTTTGATTTAATTGCTTTCTCTTTCGTTCTTAACTCTTTATTTATTCATCCTTTTCATACCTACCAAATTCTAAAACAAAACTTCAACTAGTTTTTCAACTTATCTGGATTATATTTAGACCTACATTTAACACTTCAATTACATTCATCACTTTAATTTTTTTATTCTAGATAACTTAAAGAGGTATAATTTTTAATTAAATTTTTATTTCTTAAACTTAACTTTGCACTTAATTATAACAATGAAAAGGGTTATTAAGTACGAAAAAAATGATATGTAAGTAGTGTTCTTCAACACATCTTGCTTTAGGACCTTGAATTTTCGTTGGTTAATCTTCACTTTTTATTTTTATTTCAGACACATCTCGTTGGTGATGTTGCTGATCTCTGGCTTTGAGCCCTACCGCTCTGGCCGTTCTTAATCTTTACTTAAGTCATAGCGACTAAAGCTTACTTAAGATATTTCTTTATCTTTATCTTCACTTGGGAGCGGCTGACTACTCCCTTAATAATTTTTTTTCTTTTTTTTTTCACGCAGGAGCGGATGACTACTCCTTAAATAAGCCTGAATGTCCTTTCAAAAACACACTTTTAGAGAGGTAGTCATTGAATGTGAACTCCACCCTTACCTGAATGCAGATGATGAATGTAAGGGATAGTATATCTGATTTTGCCTGGTGATGTCTGTTTCTGCAAAGCTGTGTTTTTATGGTTTATTTTAGAATGTATATATCAAATTTTTTGCTGAGTCAAAAATTTTCCAGGGTCGGGGGGAAAATGTAGTGTTATGCTACTTACATATCATTTTACACTATTTTAAATTAATTTTTCCATTCTGTTTCGATTTTCTGCATTCGCCTCAAAACTGGATATTTTACATCACCTTTATTTCCATAGGATCCTGTAACGATTTTAAACTATAAGAACACAATAACAAATCATTTTTACTTCGTATTTTCACACTATCAGCACTTTTAAATTGGTGTCAATGGAGTCTACCTTTTTCGATCTTTTATTTAGTTTTCCGTAACTCTGCAATTTCGGGCTTTGTGCGCGCTGGTGCGCTACCTTTTTTCCTATATCAATAATATCTCATTATTCACTTAAATCTTGCCGTTTTTCTATTACGAGCCTAAAACCAAAATTTGACATGTTTTGACATCGTTGTTTATCTGGTTGTCATGACAATTATACTCAAATTCGCTACCGGTCTGTTGTTTTTACTTCGATAATTGCACATAAATACTCTTTCCTCTTAGCCATTTACAAAAAATTTGCTTTTAATTTAAATAATTTTCCGTTCTCTCTAAAAAGGTATAAAAGCCGAACAATCGGTCAAGAAACTCAGTCTCGCTTCAGTTCTCAAATTCGAAGCATCTCCTAAAGGCCTTATCCCGGGGCCGCACTGCCCCGGGATCCTGCAAGCCTCTGTCCTGCCTGAAGTCGCTGAGGATCCTGCAAGCCTCTGTCCTGCCAGAAGCCGCTGGATCCTACAAGCCTCTGCTCTGCCTGAAGTCGCCGAATCCTGCAAGCCTCTGCTCTACCTGAAGTCGCCGGATCCTGCAAGCCTCTGTCCTGCCTGAAGTCGCCGGATCCTGCAAGTCTCTGTCCCGCCTGAAGTCGCCGGATCCTGCAGGCCTCTGTCCTGCCTGAAGTCGCTGAAGATCCTGCAAGCCCCTGTCTTGCCTGAAGTCGCCGGATCTTGCAAACCTCCGCATTCACCCGAGGTCGTCGCCTAGAGACGCCCACACCTTCACCTACGCTGTGCGTGCTCGTTCCAGGCGCTGAGAGCACTTACTGTACACCTTGAATCTTCGGGCTCAACTTCAACACTAATCCTTTTTTTTTATTATCTTTTTTTTTAAATAATTGTAAATCACGACATCCATCCTCATCTTCATACTCCATTTTGTTATATAAAATTGTAAATATCTTTTAAATTTTAAATATATTATTTGTTTTTGTTCTATTTTTGTTGTTTTGTTGCTGTTAGGTTAGATTCTTTTGTATTTAATTGTCGCTTCACGACAGTGTAGGACGTCCCCCCGCTAGATGGAGTGACGACCTGGTAAGACATGCAGGAAGTCAATGGATGCAGGTGGCTCGGGACCGTGCTTTGTGCATCCCTTGGGTTCAGCAGTGGACTTGTAAAGGGCTGTAATGATGAATGATGAACTAAAATAAAACATATTCAGACTACACAAACTACTTTCATTTTTTCATTCAAAAGTTTAAAATGCAGAGATACAATTTAAATAACTCAACAGACGATGGCATATTATGTCAATTTAATTCTCGGTTTGAACAATGGCGGCACTTCAAGTCACCAGAAACATTTTCTAGGTTATAGCCAGTACAGCGTACTTGTATATATAGAGATCATTGATCCGATCCTAAAAAAGGCGACCGCTCAGATCCTTTCAACTACGGGCCTATCGCTATCACCTCCTTGTTCTCCAAAATAATGGAAACAATTATAAACTGCCGGCTAAATTAAAGACATATTAAAATATAGATATACTTAATCCGTTTTAACAAGTTTTGTTTAGGTTAAATACTTAAGTTATCCCTTCTAGATGTAAAGCAAAATCAAAAGCAATATCAAAGAAATTGTTCTATAGTTTGTTTCTGTAATTGAAATATTTTATATTATATTTTATTAATATGAAAGGGAATCTAGTTATAACAGCCTATTTGATTTCCTATGGGTTTATTATACTACAAAGAAATAAAAGAATCTTTATGTCCTGACACTGACATTGACAGAGAGTAAAAATTATTTAGAAACTGGAGTATTCTATAATAAAAAATACGGTATTATAAAAAATGTCGTGTTTACACAAAGAAAAAAAACCAATGGTTCCCTTAAAAACTTTAGATATAATTTTTAGACGACGGTATTTACCAAATACACAGTATTATTTTACTAATCGACAGCATGCCACGCGGAAGAATCAAACGAAAGAGAAAATTTGCAAACCCTTCAAAATACCAAGGTCTGAAAAACTCCTTTCGTACATTAAATACAGTGATCAACTCGAGAAAAATCATACAAATACCAGATTATCTCAACCATTACACATCAAAGATAATTTAAAAACTGCAGCAACAAGGGACATATCTGAGAGACTTTTTATTAAAAACGTACTTGATGATGTAAGAGCAGTCGTCGAAATTCATCCAGAGTTTTATAGTGTTATTGAAGGTCGACCTTTGCGTAGTTTTGATGATATTAAGGTATATTTGAATAACATACGTTGTTACGCAATGGATCGCCAACAGATAGGTTATCGACGTGATTTAATTTTAAATATTGATCAAAATGCGATAGAAGAGTCAAATGAACATAACGTTATAGTGAAAAATCTAAAGTATCATATACAGAATTTCCAAAAATTTCTGACAGAAGACTATAAAAAAGCATGTCAGAAGGTTACAAAGGCTGAAAAAATTTACACAGAATTGGTCTCTAAACAATTACAATTTCTTAGTTATGTTTCTACATTGACTATACTTAATAATGTTCTATTTAAATTGGATGCCATTAGGAATACTTTAAAGATTTACAGAAGATTTTTGATGTTTATTGCTCCTCTTTCTTGGAGACAGCAGCATGATGAAACATTAAGGGATAAAATTCAATCGATACAATTCGAATCTGGTCAATTTGCAACAGAAAATGATTTAATAGACACTCTAGATATTGACAAAATAGTTGAAATGGCAAGTATAGAATTTGCAAATCCTTTACCAGCGCATATGTATTTTAAAGAACCCGAACAAATAATGTATTTATTCCGTACAATGGAATTACAAAGTAGAGAATATTTGATACAACTTTCAAAAACAAATGCACCGTTTCGGTTATTAAAAGAACGCATTAAGCAATTGAAACGAGCAACGAAACACGAACTTGATTATTTTCAGTTCTATATTGATACTGTTAACTACGAAATCGCTCGAGAAAATTACAATGAAAGCCATTTACAAGAAAAGTTTTTTCGCATATTAAACGATACGTTTTATGAAAGTGTTGCCAGTCCTGATACTCTAAAACTAAAAATTTGTATTGAGTATGTTTACGAGCAGGTATTTGGGAAATATGAAGAAGGACATCAAAGTTTACAAGATCCGATGAAAATATTAGAAGTTATGTATGAAGACTATAACTTACGACTTGATTCATTAGATTTTAAAACTGTTAATCAAGCAAGAAATGATTTTTTTTCTCAAGATTTGAAAACAATGTCGAACGCATATAAAGCGCAACGAGAACTTAAAGCATTTTGGGAGATGACAAATGCAATGAATAAAGCTTTTTTACCTCCTGCAAAATTTTCCAAGCCGTTGTTTGTGAAAATTACTAGTAAAAAAGATAAAAAGGCAAATGTTAAAAGAGACAAATCAAAAATACAAAGAAATGAAGTCGATGAACCAGGAAAATATAAATTAACCCCAGATGAAAAAGATGGTTTAATACTGTTTACAGAATGGTGTGAAGGAATGGATCCAACCCCATATCTTAAAGAATATTATCATCATGTTAAACCCGTTTTCGAAAACGTGCCTCGTAAGGCCAAATAATTATTACTGTCAATATAATTTTGTTTTCGTACATTAATTATATTAAGTTTCTTAATCATGTTTTTAAATTGATAACTATAAATAGATCAATAGAAGTTTTTTTAAATATTTTATAGCTCCTCTTTCTTGGAGACAACTGTATTATGAAACGTTATGGGATAAACTTCGATTGATATAATCTGGTCAATATGCAACAGAAAATTATTGAATAGAAACGGGGTGTGAAAGCATGCAAACCCATAACTATCTTAATAAATATTATTAGCACATAAAACCCACAAGGTAAAAAATGTGTTTTTTTTATTCTACAAAAAATGTGTTGTAAGTCTTGTAATTATGACGAGTATTGTATTCGTAAATAAAATAAACGTTATAGATCACATTCAAAATCTAGTTGGTTTGTTATTTAGATTTCAAAGTAACATATTTATTACATATTTATTTTATTTTGTTAGTATGGATTCTGTACATTCTATAATTATTCGTGTATCTCGGCACAGAAAGCATTCGGAACTGGAAAGTCGTATAACTACAAAACGTATAATGGATGGAATTAGGAAAAGAAAGCAACAAAGGATCGTAGATAAGCCTTCGGAGACAACTTTAAAAGTTTATGATTTACCTGAAGGTAAACCTTTATCGATATTTCAACTTAAAAATGATTGTGCTTTACTATCGTATAAATTTTATTTAAAGAAGGAGGATCGGTACAGATACAAAAAGCGGCTAGCAATATGTGTTCTTGATAAATATAAAATTATTAGTACAGACCTGCGAAAACGCTTGCATATGAACAATCCCAAAAATGAAGTTCGTACTATATTGGACGTTGATAAAGATTTCTATGAATATGTTAAGGGTCGTAGGTTGGAACATCAAAGTGCTCAATATAAATCTTTAAAAATATACCCAAATAGTCAATTAAAATTAAGGCAAAAAACAGGATACAAAGAAGATTGCATTTCAAATATTGATGTTAATCAGAAGAAAGAGTTGGATGTATATAATTTAAGTTTACAAAAGTTAACAGAACAAGCCAATTATTTTGATAAATTTATATCTGAGGACTATCGGGAATCAATGGCATTATTGGAACGAGGAGATAAGCTAGTATCCAAAGTTGATAAAAAGAAAGCAGAATTAGAAAATATGGCTGCCCAGAAGTTTATGATTTCGTCTAAGCTTCTAGGTTTAGATTATAAATATAGCTTGCAACAAAAGTATGGAAGGTTTTTGTATTACTTATCACCACCATCATGGCGCGCGAAGCATAGAGATTTTGCCAGGTCTGTAGAAATAGAGGCCAGAGGTTTCGATTTAGGAAGATCTAGCGAAGAAGATACTTTTACAGTTTTATACGAAAAATTGCGTAAGGAGTGTTATGGTGAATTTGTTAAGCCAGTTTTATTCTTTACTAAACCAAAACACTTAATGGAGGTTTTCGAAATGATTGAACAACAACAGTTGCATCACTTTGCACATGTTTCACATTTTTCGCCCTACACAAAGATGTTAAATGAAAATATAATATCTTTAAAGGAAGCCATAGCTCAAGAAAGTGCTGCTGTTGTTAGTACAATTAAATACTTTAAAAATCTTTTAATATTTAGTGAAGAGAGATCCATATTATTGAAAGAAAAATTTTTCAAGGTATTGAATGGGTTTTATTATAAAAGTGTAGGAGCATTAGATGTTTTAAGACTTGTCCTACATCTCGAATTTTGCTATGAGAAGGTATTTAACGAAAAACCTATTAATAAAGATATGAAAACTCTTGCGAAAGCTTTAGAAACATTTTACATGGATTATTCGAAACAATTAGATTTACTACACAACGATAGAGTCCGTTGTGCTATAAACATAAGCTTGGAAACAGAACGTAATAAAGCCAGAAGGGCTGTAGTGGCTTCCAGGGAACTGAGACTTTTTTATAGATTAGAGCGGGAATTACTTCGGGCACATGGATTCTCGGTCAACGCTTGCGATCCTGTTCTGTCGTTTGATAAAAGCAAACAGGGGAAAAAATGTGCAAAAAAATACGTAAAACCAAAAATTTCGATAAATAAGAGAATAACACTTACAGAGGCCCAAAAAGAATATTTGGTGATGTTCACTGAGTGGAATGAAAACGAGGATCCTGCAAATTACCTACAGGACCTTAATATTTGAAATGTCAAATCAATTAAAGGTTTTTTTAAATAAAAATACCAGATTATTGAAAACAGAATTTATTACAGGGAATCTGTTTAAAATCATCAATGAAGATATCAAAAACACAATAATTTGATTTTGTGTGCTCTCAATAAAACAATATTAACTAACAAAATGTACATAACCTACTAATAATATAAATGTTTGGTTTCTTGGTATTGACAAATAACTACTTGGAATTTACATATTTACATTGTGAGTAACACAAACTCTGGTAAAAGCATTTTATTACAAAGATCTTAATACCTATTTCTAAATCTCTATGAGTAAATAAATAAATACCTATTTTAACATTCTCAATAAATAGGAAAAATATTTGCAATTTAGGTATAATAACTTTCAATTAGTCCAGACAAATTAAAGCTTTGATGCGATTTCTCTTTTTTAGCATGTTAAAATGTTATTAAGTTCTATCTGACTTGATACATGACATGATTGTGAAGGAATAAGCACGATAGCAGAAAGTCGAAAAATTAAGTATTTTCCTGACTGAATCAAAATGAGGTTAATGCATTTCGGGTGTGTTTGTACGTTTGAACGTTTATTTGAAGTGTCTGTAACGGATTTTGTCTGTGGTGTATTATATTATATTTTATTGTAAGAACAAAAAGATACATGCGATAATATGGCGCTTTCTTAACGCTAATTCCGATTGCCGTCGGAGTATTTTTGATTTTTAATATCGTTTATTAATAATATCGTTTTTTAATAAAAACCTTGCCTTGGCCTTGCTAATATCCAATCATTGATTATCCCTTATATGCATTTCAGTATCAATTATCTTTATATCTGACTCTTTATTTTGTAATAAATGAAGAATTTATTTTGTAATAATTTGAATTTTGCTGATATTACAAAATCTAGTTAAAATATTGATAATAAATTTTTTTTAAAAATAAACCAAAAAATGTGATCATTAATTATCATAGTATATACTGCAATACTATTGTAATATAATTTTCATCAAATTTATTTGCATTAGTATGTATATTGCGTTAATTTTAGAATGCAATAAAAAAGAATATTAAAAACTTAACGAATATACAAGAACTTCATTATGCTAAAAGTTTGGAGCTGAGCAATGATAGAAAAACAATTATACCAAGCCATTGAATCACAAAATCGATGAAGGTGCTATATGTTCTACACGACTATTTCTTTTAACAAAACAAGCGAAACACATAAAGTTATACAAAGATTAAATACATACATCTCGTTAAGCTAAATGGTGGTCCCACAAGTGTGAGCCACATCATGTACCTAGTACTAAACTTTTACGAGTTTCAATGCTAAATCATGTGGGTTTACTAATGAATTTAAAATAAATTCATTTCTTTCAAATTCATTAGTAAAGTAAAATGATTTTGTAAATTTGAACTAAAGTTATTCAGTTGTTTTCCTCTTCTATCTAGCAATTTTCAAAAGAAAATGACTAGTTGTTCATTTCAATTTTATCAAAACATTATGTTGTTTCAAAGTGATCAATATAACTTGAGCAACATTATGATGGAATATTTTCATAAGACTTTTATGTACATCTACAGTAAAAACAATATTTGGTGTTTTTTTACATCGTATTGACTGATATTTAACATCCATAAAAGTACAAAACTTTGATAAACTTTTAACCATTATAGTTTCACATTATTCTATATGTATAGTTTATCTGACTCGTTTCTTCTGCAACTTGGCTAATTTTCTTCTTTTGAGTATCATTTCATAAAGGGCTTCGAGACCCTCATGGAGCCCCTCTCCTGTAATTGCACAAGCGGGCTGTACATGCCAGGCATGCGCGTCACGCGATCCATGCGGCGACGAAACAAGTTCATGCAGTCCCAACAGTTTTTCCAGCTCTCGCGGTTCTTTTGCTCCTGGTAAGTCTTGCTTATTCGCTAATACGAGTATAGGTACACCAGCATTATCTGGTGATTTCGCCGTTCTGATAAGTTCCATTTTAGCTTCTTCCATTCTCTCTACGTCGACAGAGTCTAGTACAAAAATAATGCCGTCCGTGCATCGTGTATACGATTTCCATAGCGGCCTGAGTTTTTCCTGGCCACCGACGTCCCACACTAGAAAATTGACACCTTTTGATTTTCCTATTGTCCCTTTTACTTTTTCACAATTGAAACCAATCGTTGGGACTGTGTTGAGGTACTGGTCAAATTTCAGACGGTAAAGCGCTGTGGTTTTGCCCGCGGAATCGAGACCAAGCATGACGACGTGCAGCGTGCCCTGCGTGGAGGGCAGCGCGTCGAGCAGGCTCGAATTTTTGCCCATGTTTGCACCCATGCTGTGTTGCCACACGGCGGCTATCTGACGCTCTCGTCTGATTGCAGCATCACGAGCATTGGCTCTCACCTGGAACATATACAATAATATGTTTAGCAATTGAATCTTAAGTTAACTGCACATAAAGTAAGGCTCATTATAATATTGTTTTAATTATTTTGTAAAATATATAAGTGAAAGTCATTTCTGGCGGTTACATTAAAAAGTGTGCTGGTAGCCGTTACAAATAAAAATGTTACGATTATTAAATATCGATGTAAGTATCGATCGATGGTCTTCCACGAGTTAGTGCTATGTTAAACCGGATATACTGGTCATCTAAAACCTCTCCTAATTACAGTTGACCTTCATTCACCATTCAAAAGCTTAGAGTTGTGAAGGTCATATTCATTACCATTCATACCATAGATCATTATCAATGACAATGATGTAAAAATTGGTAAGAAGTTTTTAGGACAATAAGATTCCGGAGTTTATTTGTTATTATTTCATACGAATAGAAAGTAGGGTTGGTATAATTCCTAATATAAGTATTGTATATAAGTAGGTAAAGATAAGATAAATAAAGGATCGCCGTTTGCTTTTCTAAAAAAAGAAACTTTCCAATTAGTTTAGTTTTTGTTTCTAAAATGCAAAGTATACACAAAAGTTGACTGATTTGGATATTTAAAAAATGTTAACTTTTTTCTTAAATCCCATTCAAAGTGAAGAAAGTAAATAAATAAATAATCATTTATAAAATAAAATACTGTTTCTACCACTTGAGACGGCCTTAAGATGTCTTATTTTAAGTCTGCCGAACGAATAATTGGTTGTAAAAATGGCTTTTACATACACTTCATATGTTATAAAGAGAATTATTGTAACGTAGAACGAAGTTTAACTTGAATATCAAGAACAGACATCAGAATCGGGTGTGATACAAGCAAAAATAACGATAATAAGTGTTTTATACCGAGTCGCATAATTTTACACCATGGTAGTATAATGTCACTCTCTAATTATATTCCAACGCTGACGTTTTTCTTTAGAGTAGAAATTAAACGTATAATATAAGACTATAAGTTTTAATGCGTTAGCTAAACAAATCTTATTTTGAAAGAATATGTAAAGGTTAAAAGGGAGTGGAAGCTACACCACAGCTTCGTCGCGAGACAAGATGTCGCCGTTATGCCCTTTGTAATTTTGCGTACGGTGCGGTGGAGACATTGGCAACTGTTAAGAAACAACTATGTGTTGCTTATACTAAGTATAATAAACTGTCTATAGGGGCAATGGATCGTATCATGATCGATTTATTTTACATATGCTGTGTAACCCTAAAGTTACAACTTTGATGTTCATTAGTTTGTATAGGTAGTAAAAATGCAGGCCGCTACGTTCCGTTGAAACTGAGAGCATTGCGCTTGTTATTTTTGTCATTACCGGTCATTCACCTCGAGCAAGTGCGGCTTCATTTATTTCACGATTCGTATTTGATATAATACTATCGTTACAGCCTATTAAACTGCACTGCTGAACATAGGCCTCATAAAGGGATATTTGTCATAATTGCCAAGAGGAGGAGGGCGTGCAGCGGGGCGGAGCATTCGACGTTCATTACAAATGAACGATTTGTCGTCGTCGCTTGGCTGCTCACGGCTTTAAAAAGTCTTAGTCTTGAAAGTTAGCATGGAGAGTTTGACAAGGCGTGTGGCGTAGTTTCGCGTTCGACATAGGAGTACAGCTTCATCGGCCTTCAGTATAATGTCGAACCTGGGCACACATGTTCACCACTACACCAACGAGCCAGGCAGGCACTTGCCCTGCTGCACGCTCATCACCGATGAATATTATTTTATAAATTATTCCAATGCAGGTCTTATTAATTATACAATTACAATAGTTCCATTGCGGGATTATCTCGAAGAATCTACCTTATAGGTATTTAACAATTTATAAAATTATCTTTGTAACTTTTTATAAATAAGACCACCGTATCAAATACGATACTTTACCGTTACAATTATTATATCTGAATAACTTTTTTTTTAGCAAGTTACACGTGGTAGAGCCACGCTGAAGCTATATTAGTAGTATAGTTGTAGCACGAATGGGTCGGCTCGACCGGGGAAAGACCACGCTCTCACGGAATACCAATGTGAAATCGCAGCTTAACACTGCTGTGTTTCGTATGGTGAGTGTAGAGAGAAGTGTGTGTAAAAAGGGTCTCCCTTTTTACTTTAGGCAAAGAGGCATTCCATCTTAGTCCTCACGGGTGACAACGCATCTGCATTTTGATTCGCAAACGAGGATAGATGTAGATGTTTGTGGGCGACAGCAACCACTTACCATCAGGTGGACTGTGTGCTCGTTTGTCACCCCATCCTATAAAAAAAATTAATTGTAGCACGAATGGGTCGGTTCGACCGGGGAAGGACCACGCTTCACCGTAAAATAGCAGGTTAATACTACTGTGTTTGGTATGGCAAGTGTAGAGAACCGAAGACCCTTTTTACTGAAAACGAGGCATTCCATCTTAGTCCTCAGGGATGACAACGCGTCTGCATTTTGATTCTTTATTGAGTATAAATGTAGATGTCTATGGGCCACAGCATCCACTTACTATCAGGTGGACTGTGGCTCGTTTTTCACCCTCATCCTACGAGTATATAAAAAAAGAATTTATAAGTAGGAGTTTAAAACAACAACTGACAGCACCTCATTTTAGAAATAATAAAAAGTTCAGTTTTTGTTTTATATACTTTACGAACTCATAAAAGCAAATTTTAACGTCTGTTTTAAGTGATGGTTGCATTCAAACCAGACGGCACAATTAATAAATGAGAGTTCATCAGTGTACGGTGTACAGTCTCAAATCACAGCGGATGCGGGTAATGAAAAGAAGGAATATTTTTTTTAATGAAAACAGATTTTATCTATTTTTTTTTCTATTTGCGTAGATTATAATTATGTAATTTACCATAAGATTCGTCGTTAGATAAAAAAATTAATACTATTTTATAAAATCATAATTTTATTTATTTGAATAACAGTGTTATATTGTTCTTCTAATGAACATTAATTTTGGTTCATAAACTATTCTCTTATTCAATATCAGGTTTCCCACAAAAATATTGACGTTATTATTATGAGATTTTTTATTGAAAGAGTGAAAAACAAGCTTACATTCCAGTCCACTTGATGGTTATACTGGCTTTAGTAACAGCAACCCATAGACACACATATATATATATATATATATATATATATATATATATATATATAAACTGTATGTATTATGTAGTTACTTAGTTGTTTTCACTTTGCACCCACAATATTTTCTCTGCTTAGCCTGGAGGTAGACTGTTTTATTATTATTTTTATAATTTAATTATAGAGGTATAATTACCAAAAGTAAACGATATAACAGTCAGTGAACGCAGTTGCTGATTAACGACAAAATAAGGTAAGAGGGTGGCCATTACATGCACTTGCAGACATTTTCTGTGTAGCAGTCCGAAGATCTAAGTTAACCAATTATATTTGCCACTGAAATTACGGATGTTCGTTTTGAGTTTATATTGAAATTCAAGTATTAATTGTACTTGCATATGTAAATAGTTGTTACTTCGGCCCAGATGCGCAGTAGCTAAGCGTTTGTCTGCGGCGGTGCGGGCCCGTGAGTTCGAATCATTCAGGGAAAAAACGTTTGTTTGGCATGCAAATAATTGTTCTGGCGTTTGTCTAAGTGAAATTTATAAAATGTAAAACGCCTCCTCGATACAGGTAGAAGAGTGTTAACGTTTTTATTTTTAAAGAAAATTATAAATGTATAAGTACGTACATTTTAGTTATAGATAAAAATGACATCATAATATAGACATACCTTTGTATCTACTAAGAAAATTAAAGGTCGTAAATGGCTAATTTTCTTTTAATACACATTGATATGATAATATCTTAAAATTAAAAATTTAAGGATTAGTGCTTATAAAGGGTACCAGTATCTCTTTGTTATCCCTTTTATTTCAATATGATATTGTAAGAAATTATCCCATTTCTGATGTAACATATTATTCCACTTCTGATGTTAGAAATTATTCTCAAAATCAAAATTGTTTAAATAAAAGAACACTACTCGGCAACAAACCCTGATTACTATCAGAACCCAATTACATGATAACACCAAAGCATCCAAACCAACAGCATCACCACCCATCTCGATGCAAGATAAGCAAGCCTCTCAGCAACACGATCTCGAGTAACGACAACGAGACTCGTAGAATTACGGACTGATGCCTCTTAGTCTTATACTTCTAGAACAAGTGGAAGATTACCGTTAGATACCTTCATTTTTTCGTATTTCATTTTATAAATTTTTTACTCTCATTGCTTTCAATATATAATAGCCTAATTTTTTCAAATCATCTTTAACACGTTTTTAACTGGGATTATTATTTTTGGGGTATCTATAAAGTTTTCTCATCTGGTTGGGCAGTATAAATATATAATTGTAAATGAAAATGGTAAACATACATAAATATGAATAAAATAAAATAAATACATAAAAAATACATAAATATATAAAAACCCAACCAGATGGAAGCCCTCGGCAGGGGAGACCAGACGGCCGAGGGTTAGGGGAAAAGGGAAAGAAACCGGCGGACGATGCGGGCGGTATCGAGGAGCACCGCCTTCTGCATTTGAGCCTGGAGCGGTCCGTCACGGAGTCCCAGTCGCCTCAGATGACCCGGGAGGCTGACTGGGATTAACCCGTTCGCAGAAACGACCACAGGAATAATTTCGGTCGGCAGACCACCCCACATGCCGGTAACCTCGTGAGCCAGGTCCAGATATTTTGTCACCTTATCTGTTTCGGCTTTCACGAGGTTCTCGTCATAAGGAATGGTAATGTCGACCAAAAAGATCCTTGACTGTGCCCGGTCCATCAGCACAATATCAGGCTTATTCGCAAGAATAGTCCTGTCTGTGATGATGGCCCGGTCCCAGTAGAGCCTGGCGCGGTCATTTTCGAGCACGGCTTCCGGCAAGTACTTATAATACGGCAGTTTCCGATCCACGAGGCCGTATTTCAGCTGTACAGTCAACCTTGTACAGCTCTAACTGTACAGTCAACCTTGTACAGCTCTAACTGTACAGTCAACCTTGTACAGCTCGAGGACCCTCTTCAGCCATGTATGAGGCACCGAGTCGAATGCCTTTTTGTAGTCTATCCAGGCGGCGGATAGGTTCCGACGGTTGCGTTTAACCACTTTGCCAATGACCGCGTCAATGAGGAGTGGTTCCTTGGTTCCACGACCACCGCCCCGACATCCATTTTGAGCGCGCGACATCACCTGATTTGAGTTCAGGTGACGAGTGATTCTCGCGCTTAAAATGGATGTTAGTGTCTTATATATCGTGGGTAGACACGTGATGGGGCGGTATTTGCTCGGGTCTGTGGAATCCCGGTCTTTAGGAACCAAATGAGTGATCCCAGTAGTGAAGAGGCTCGGGAGCGACTTTTGGTCGAGAGCCTCTTGAAATTGTCGGGCGAGCACAGCGTGACACACCACGAACCCCTTCAGCCAGTAGTGATGCAGCCCGTCGAGCCCTGGACTTTTCCAGTTCGGGGCCCTTCGGACCGCCTCAGCTACATCGTCCGGCGTTATAATGACGGGGTCCATGGGCGTAAGATTCACACACTGACTCACCACAACTTCCGTCCAAGGGCCCTCACTGTGGTTTACGGGCTCTGACCACAGGCCGCGCCAGAATGCAACAGTGTCGGCCTGATTCGGTGCTTGGCCCATTCCACGTACCATTGGTCGCTCCAATGATTTATATAGCCTCTTCTGATCACTCTGGAAGAGACGATTCTGGTTGAACCGTGTCGACCTCTCGGTATATCGCCGAATCCGCTTCACCCCAGCAGCGATTCTCTGCTTCAGGTCGTCTATGCGCTCCGTCAGTTTTTGCGTTATATCCGGCTGGGACAAACTGATATTTGTCCCAGCAAACGCCAACCTGACGGTGCGCATAATTCTCGGCCTATTATTGCCCGACCTGAAGCTTATCAGCCTGCCAATGAGGGCCCTTGCCTTTACGATACGGTCCTCAATCCTTCTTCTCCAGGCTGGGATGGCGCTACTTTGTCTAGTAGCGCGTCCAGCCGTGGGAAGTTTGGCGCCAACAATACGGCAAACTGCCAGTGCGGTGCCAAAAAGAATTGAGTCCGTCTCGCAAAGGTCCCGGCTGGCTTCCAAATAGGTCACCAGCATTGGGTTGAGAGCCCTCACGACAGCCCGATTTCGCTTGCTTAGGGGTATGCGCGGGAGTCGCGGTCGATTTTCGAGAGGCGTACTGCGCGTTTCCACAATCGCCTCCTCCAATTTACTCCTCATCTGCTCTAGTTCTTGGGTGACCATTCCATCATCGCCTGAATCAACTAGAGCGGGGAAATCCATGGCGCCCTCTATATGTGGCTGCTGGTCTGTGGCCTGAGGAGCCGCATCCCCAGCTATAGCCGGTTCATTCGACGAGGGAATAGCCTCACGCCGTAGTCGTTCGAGTTCGGCATCATCAAATATTTTCGAGCGTATGATGTACCGAACTCGGTCTACCAGGTTTTGCTCCGTGACGGGAACTGACGGCTCAAGCTCAGCAAAAAAGCGATGCATCCGAGCCCGATACGCTATCCCTTCAGTTTCTTCCCCCTTCGCCCTATAGTACGCCCGCAATGCGTTAATGTTCATATTTTTTGTCCAACGCATGCGGCGTACTCCACCAGCGGCGGGTGCCGCTTGCCGAGTCCGAGAGGACCCCGCCGACTCCAAGCCGTCTGGTGGGGATGATGGACGCGAGGGGCTGCTAGGTGGTCGTGCAGCACCTCGCGCTCGGCTGGCGGCTCGCATGCTGTCACGTCCAGCGCCAGCTCCAGACGCTCCCCGGCGACCCCCAGGCAGCGGCCCTATGCGCGTTTTATTTTCATCCATCATCCATTATTATTATTATTATCTTTATTGTTGGTTTATATGTATATAAATACATACAAATACGATTCTTAAGATTTATTATCGTCAAAAACAATTTTCCAATAAACTACTAGTGCCATCTTCCCTTATATTATACTCTTCATATATCCACTATATTTAAATCTCTTTGATCCACTAAACGCAATAGCGGAAAAGAGCCACACCCTCGAAAGGGTCAAGTAAGCGGAGTGAAAGCAAAGATGATAAAAATGGCCCTTTACTTTCTCTTAGCTTGCTGTATACATGAACTGAGGTCGCTATATTTTCTTTTGAATAAGAAATAAGAAATAAAAATATCACAGTTTTATCCTTACAGGATATAGCTATATGTAATATGTACGTACGTACTGAGACTCGATTTTTTGCATCCATCATCATCATCAAGGCTTTGTTTCAGTAAGGTATTCACTACTAGACTCTCCATAAATACGCCAGCTGGTATGGACTATTGCTAGAATAATTCTCACTATATTGAGCGGGCGCTGCTTGACCACATGTATCAGAAAGCACGAAAAGCCATGTGCCCTATACTAACTTCATCTCCCTTCGGTCGTTATGGATTGGTGTCCCATTGGACTATGAGAATGGGGGAATAGACAGTGCACCTGTGCTAGCGCACACACTCGCGCACTATAATCCTGTCCTGTTCAGATGGTTAGTCTCCGTTGAGGCTGGCCGCCGAGACCGAAATTCAGTACGAAGGAGATACATTATATTAGCTGAACATGCTCGTGGCTGGTGTTATTTAAAAAAAAAGTAAGAATGACAAACAAGCAAACAGTCCACGTGATATTAAATGGATGCTGTGAACCATTGACTACTATCTATCCTCGATGTTAAATCGAGATGCACATGCGCTGTGATCTCTAAGAACTAAGATTTATTCTTAGTTCTTAGAGATTAGAGAGAGAGAGGCATTAAAAATGGTCTCTGGTTTTCATCATTCACCATACGACAGCGTTATGCTGCTATTTTACGCCGCTGAACTTTACTGCCAGTAGGTGTGCTATAATGATAATTTTTGTTTAGCTTTTTATTGTGATATATACTCGTACATATTGCATTACTTATATATTTTGTTCAAAAAATAATAATAATAAATATATGCCGCATGGACATTAATTTCTAAATTTATTAAAATCCATTGTCATACTGAGCAGTTGATCTAATTGAAAAAAAAAATGCGTAATTTTGTTCAACCCTAAAACTGATAGTTTATCTTGTTGAACCAAAACATTTACATATTTTTTACCCTATTTAATAAGAGGACGTTGTGATAACATCTTAAAACAACCTAACAATTTGACAGAAGCTCTAATAAAGTAGATCATCTAAATTAAAGCAGCACACGCTACAACCTGTATTCTTTTTAGAATTTGTCACAGTTTTATCGTAACCTGCTTCGTAAGATTTTCATATTATTTACATTTAATACTTTTTATAACATAGTAATATTTAAAGGAGGACGATGGTGACCTACAACGCTGATGGGATACGATTTTTCTGTAATTTTAGGTTCTGTAGTATTGGTGATTAGAGTACAGTGTTTTTTGGTTCACATTGACTCATCGTCAACCATTCTGTGTACGTATACCATTTAAGAGCGTCTTATAGTGTACTTTATAGTGTTGCAGGTTATCCGCTTCCGATATATTTAAAGTTACATTACAGATTGTTAAGATCCAGTTATATGTGTTCCGCTAGTCAACCTGGTATTCAATGCAACAGGTCCACACAGTTGCCGTATTGGACGCGCATGAATGGCTATGATCAGGTTAGAATCAATCGACCCAAGCCTAGTTCATATGGCTAGCTGTAACCCAGAATTCAACTTCCGCTGGATGTTCGTTTAAGGAAAATCTCCTTTGAATAAAAGTTAATAAATAAAAGCCTTCAATTTTATCTCTCAATATGTTTAAGTTAAGAGATCGTCTCATAAGACTTGAAATTCAAGTACTTAGAAATATATTTTAGGGTTTATTATTATTCTTATATGTTGATCGGTAAACAAGTATTATTTTTTTTTACTAAATTACGTATATTTTGAATCTTTAAGCTAGATTAAGTTTTAGTAAAATTTATATCGAATGCATAATTTATCTCGTTTGCCTATTTGAAAAAGGATTTGAAAGTAATAAGTCGTGTTTTTTTCTCTTTATTTGGTAATTTAGATCATTTCTTAAAGTCTTAAACGTAGTAGCGTTGATATTTTATGTATTAACTAATAACAGTAAAAAAATTGTGATGTTTTTCAATCGTACTAACTACCAAAACACAAATTTGTTTTGTGATTTAAATTTTGTTACTTTCAATTATAATAGGTATAGTCCATAATAATAGGCTAATAAATAAGTTAAAAAACCACTTGTTGGTACGTGGACACCAGACACCTGACCAACTTCAATTGTGACGTTTTCAATCGATCTATGTACCAAAACACAAATTTGTTTTGTGTTTTAAATTTTGTTACTTTCAATTATGATAGGCATGGATGTATAAAAAAAAATTTTTATACGTCCATGATAATAAGCTAATAAATAAGTAAACAAACTACTTGTTGGTACGTAGACACCAGACACCTGACCAACTTCCAATAAATAAAATCTGCATAAATGCTTTGTCACATCTGAGGATTAATATGAAATGGCTCACATCCTTTAAGGATACTGGCTCGCCTATACTTCAAACTGAAAAAAGTAGTATAATATGCACTGCTACTTGGCAGCAGAATTAGATAAAAAGGTGGCACCAGTCTAGGACAGACTTCTGGGCATAAAAGGAGCTGTACCACCTTGTTAAAGGGGAAATAAGGGGTTTGTTTATGAATACTTTTTATCATAGTAATTATTATTTATCACCTAACATTAATTTAAATATGACATTTAGATTAGGCATAAAAATCAAGACAACCTTTGACGTTTTTACTGTAAAAAAAAAACTACCTGCAAAATATTTAGGCGAACGAACCCGAACCGGGTCTTCAGTTAATAATACTTTTTTTCATATTCCGTTTTAAACGCGTTAGAAAATCAATGCACGTGCGTCGCATCGTCGTGCAAGGTCTTCGATAATTGAAGCGATGCATTCGCTAACGTGTGTATAACGGTGTCTATGATATGATCTAAAAAGTTTGCCGATTCGTTTACCGTACCAATGTGTCGAGCGGGTGTTTGCGAATTCATGGTTATGAAACGGTATTTCTTCATTTGATTACCTCTTTTATGTTTTATTACCCCTTTTTACTGGAAGCGAGACATTACATCTTACGAATAGTCCTCAGGAGTGATAACGCATCTGCATTTTCTTCACTTCTTTTTGAACATTTTTTTTTCAAAATTTCTTGTACGTAGTTCTACTAATTTTCTTTATGTTATTTTCGCTATATTTCTTTAATATTCACGGTATTTTATTTAAGTCACATTAATTTGCGAATTTGACCAATGCAAACGGATAGATAAGTGACGTACGCATGTTTGAAAGTTGCTACTTATCTGTTAATAAGTTATGTAGCAATTTTCAAACGTTCTATGGCTTGGAAAAGGCTTCCTAAAATCCTAAACTGAGAGCGTTTTAGAGTAGGGAGGAGACCGCCGCGCTGCCCCAATGCCTGTTAGCGGACTTCACATGTCCTAGAAATATTTTTTAACTTCTCAGATACTGCTTATCTCACAATATTAACCATTACTGTTGGCACATAATGCAATTAACAATTTTGTTGGTGCTGGTGCGAATTAAACTCGGTTCGAATGCGTACTATAAAATTTTAAGGTGAACGCTTATGCCTTAAGCTCTTGTTCCGGGTTTCAATAGTATTCATAAAAGATGAATAAATTTCAAGTTGATCGAATTTTTAAAACTTTTATTAGGCGTCTTAGGCCCGTTACCCACTACAACGTTCCTTTCCATGACTGGAACCGTTTCGGCAACAATAATAACCTTTAGACCGTTCCGTCAACGACCAACAACGTAGCGAGCCATGAACGCACCGACAGTAGATTAGAAGATAATAAAAAAAATGTAGTTGCCAACATTTATTTTATGGTTGTATCAAACGAAAGGGTCGGCTCGACTTGAGAAGGAACACCCTCTCACAGGATGCCAGCGTAGAATAGCAACTTAATGCTGTTGTGTTTCGTATGGTGAGTATAGAGAATCCTTTTCACTGGAAACGTATTCATATTAGTCCTCAGGGGTGATAACGAATCCGCATTTTGATTCTTATTCGAGGATATATGTAGATTGTCTATGGGCCACAGCATCCACTTACCATCAGGTGGACTGTTTTTATTGGCACTCTTATACTCTAAGAATATTCTTGAAAGTGAAAATGCATGTGTAGACTTCATTGTTTCAAGTTGTTTGCAGGTGTCCATCGGCTGCAGTAGCCTCTTACCATCAGGTAGACTGTGAGTTAGTTTGTCATTTCAATTTTATAAATAAAAACCCCCAAAAAACCCTACCACAGCTAACAAAACAGCTGATGACCTTGAAACGTCTGAATCGATTTTGATAAACATGTCTGAGAACCACCGCTAGAAAACCGGCTTATAAATTTAAAAAAAAGCCGCTCCCAAATTGGTTCACCCGTTTAAGAGCTACGCTGCTACAAACAGTCACACAGACAGACACACACATAGCGGTCAAACTTATAGCACCCCTTATTCCCATTCTTCAACGTCTAAAATTAGGTTAAGTCTTCCGGTCCTCTTATGACTAGAGCATTTTAGTTCATACCATTCATTGCCTGACCGCGGAGCGTTTCTTTATGCTAATTTTTATTTTCCATAAGGTGGAAGCACTCCCTTTCTCTTACCTATTTCTACCGCTAATAGTAGTTTCTGTACTGTTGTGTCCCGGTCTGAAGAATATAAAGAGCTAGACTTAATTACAGGCTGTGAGGCTTTCCATCTTAGTCCTCAGAGGTGACGCTTCTATAGCTTCTTCCTTGTTTTAAGTTGGCTGTAGGTGTCCATGAACAGCAGTAGCTGCTCACCATGAGGTGAGCAGTGAGTGTCAGTTTTATTAAGAAAATATTAAAATATTTAACACTCACACAAGAAAACGATTAACTCCAACGTCTCCGACAGGCTAATATTGCTCCTCGGTCTTCTAAATACCTGAAACAACAAACAAAATAATGAAACCCGATCGGTTAATACTCGTATTATATTTGTAGCCGCCGCTGAGGCAGTTGCGATTTTGTTTGTGCGAGGTTTAGGTTGGTTTACAGAGAAAATCTCGAGTTTTAACTGAAATTACACTTTGTCAACATTTAGGTCTTGACCATATTAAGTTACACAAATTTTGACATTTGTGAAGTTTAAGCTCGAGTGACAAACACTTAATAGTTAGTATTGAAAACATTTAAAGATATTACGATGAAAGCTTTAATCTAGTCTTAGGCTATCAAACATCTTGACAATCTGACTTAGAAAAAAGCGTAGAGTTAGTGGCTTTAGTTTACGTCTGCATGATTGATGATTGTAACACACACACACACACACACACACACACACGCACGCACGCACGCATGCACACACGCACGCACGCACGCCCAGACCGATTTTTATTTTTAAATGTACGTTATGTATTCGAATTGTGTTTCATGTTACAATAAAAAACCTATTACGCGGTATTCCATTAATTTTGTAATAAAATTAAAATGTAATAAAAGTCAAAGGAATGTAAAGATGGTTGTGTTGTACAGGTTGAATAGGATTCGTGCGGATGAAGGCGGTCTGCAATTTCCGTTTCTTCCGTACTCTCGCGTCTAATGAAAGATGCGGATATAACCTCCCTGTTCTTTTATGATGAACGTGACTTAAGGAGGTTTCCTGTGTACTTTATTCGTATTATTTGGGCTAATGGATACATTTGTAATTCATGTTTGTAACAGTATTAATACTACTTTGACCTTTAAAATTGTCAGATTTATAGCTTAGAATTTAGCTTTAAACACGATACGAGTATGTTTGTATGCCTGATGCTATGGGCTATGTTGACGGCGGGGTATAAGGGGGCTGTAACAATTTATGCCCAAATGTTAACCTCACCTGCACGTGATGCATGTGATGCACCAGGGGTTAGGTTGACAACATGTTGTAGCTAGTTACCGAATAAGGTTCTAGCGACACACTAATGGCGATATATCTATTTGAAGACTAGTGTGAGAGTATACGTGGTAGAGCCATGTTGCAGCTATATTAGTATAGTGTAGCACGAATGGGTCGGCTCGACCGGGGATGGACCACGCTCTCACAGAATACCAGCGTAAAATGCCAGCTTCACACTGCTGTGTTTCGAATGGTGAGTGTAGAGAACCGGAGACCTATTTTACTGGAAAAGAGGCATTCCATCTCAGTCCTCACGGGTGACGACGCATCTGCATTTGATTTTTTATTGAGGATAAATGTAGATGTCTATGGGTTACAGCGACCACTTACCATCAGGTAGACTGTGTGCTCGTTTGTAACCCTATCCTATGAAAAAAAACCGGCCAAGTGCGACTCGGACTCGTAGGTAAATAAGTTTAAAGTTTCGCAATTTTTCCTTTATCTGTGCTATAAAAATACGTTGCTTCGTACCAAATTTTAAGATTCTGAGCTCACGGGAAGTACGCTGTAGGTTTTGATTCCCTTGCGAATGTCGAAAATTTGCGGCATAAACGTCTGTATCTTTTGATTGTGTTGGCTTGGAAGTTTGATTTTTTCACAGCTGTAAGGGACAGTAGACTTGAGTATTTTATATGAATTTCAGCTTGATCCCTCCATGTGTTCCTGAGAAAAAGGATCTTCACAGACAGACAGACGGACAACAAAGTGATCCTATAAGGGTTCCGTTTTTTCCTTTTGAGATACGGAATCCTAACAAGAGTAGCGGCCCTACGTTCATCAACATACATGCTCAACATGGTGATAGGAAAACATTTAAAGCAATGGATGCTCGTGCAAAAATTCGTCATTTGAAGGTGCCTATATCCAGCTGTAAATATAAGGAGATATAGAAGGTAAGGATTGTGCTAATGGTCGCATATTCGCAAACGTATATTTCTTTACCGAACCTTACCTTTTGTGGTCGCTGCCAAGGTTTTTTACTTAGCATAGCCCTCTCTTCTGAGATTCGTATGAAAGCAGTTTTTTTTGTGACTTTGCGAGGTAGCGCAACGTTGAGAGTAATTTCCACATGAATAGGTTCTCATTGACGGACCATTTATGTTATTCCATTTTTCTTTTGCATTGGACTTAATCTTTGGCCTTTGCAACCGAATAGCGGAGTTCGCGTATATTTAGAATATTTGTAACGGGATTTGTTTGCTATTTAAAGAAATATCAAAATCAATTACCTGTTCAGAAATTATTTTCTGAATAAAGGTTTCCAAAAAAGGTATCGAATAAGGTGTCGGTTCGAACCCAAGACCTTTTAGCTGCTGTCGCTTCACTTTAAGTATTAATCTTCCGCTTTGCACTATGGGGAAGTCCTTAGTTAAGTAGCCGATACGGTAGTAACTTTTACTGGTCTTAAAACGAACATGGAGAACTTAATCTTTTAATATGGTGTTCATTTGTTAAGTGATATTCTGTTAAACAAAAAGTATTAAAAGATGAAATTAGGACTTTAGTTATTTTATAAATGTATTTATATTTATTGATGATTTTAAATTGTGGAGTGTATGTCAAGGCAAAAAAGCGTTTATTTTATAATAGGTCGGGGAACGTTTCTTCGTATTTTGTGTGTATAAAATTGAGGAAAAATCTCTTACTACTACTAATTATTGCTGGTTTAATATCAATACATAGGACATTAAGAAAAAGAAAAATAAAAGTAAAAAATACTTTCCCGCCATTTTTCAATTGTTTTTCTGTCCGCCAAAAGGTGTGAATCTAACGAAGAACTTCCATTAATTCTGAAGTTTTATTACAAAAAAGGGAAAATGCGAATCAAGCCACGAAAAACATTTGATGAGATTGATCACTGGTGATATAAGCGGATCACCTACGACAAGAACATGCGAAAAAGATCATGGTCAAAGGGTAGTCAAGATCCACAAACTGTACCGAAACTCGGATTAACACGCAATAAGATGATGCTGAGTGTATGGTGGGATTGGAAGGACATCGTTTATTATGAATTTTTACCGCCGAACAAAACCATCAATTCGGATCTCTACTGCCAACAACTAATGAAACTCAAGCAAGAAATGAAGAAAAAACGGCCGGAATCGATCAACAGAAAATGAGTGGTATTTCATCATGATAACGCCAGACCACACATATTTTTGGCCACTCAGCGAAAATTGAGAGAGCTTGGTTGGGAAATGTTAATGGATCCACCATATAGTCCTGATCTTGTACCCGAAAATTTTCACCTGTTTCCATCTCTTCAGAATTCATTGGGTAGTGTTGACGGCTCCGTGGCGCAGTGGCTTAGCAATGACTTGGTGCGCTGGAGGCCGCGGGTTCGAATCGCGCACGGAACAAGTATTTGTATGGCCTACAAATAAATGTTCCGGGTCTGGATGTTTGTCCTTGTGCAATTTGTGATTGTAAACTGCCTCTGCGATATCTGCGATATAATGTCCTAGTGTGGGAGTAACCTTTTTTTTAAAAAAAGAAAAAAGTGTTAGGTTAACATAAGACAGGACTGTCAAAACTACTTGTCCCATTTTATTGATCAAAAATCCCAAGATTTCTACAGCAACGGGATTATGTTACTACCTATAAGGTGGTAACAAGTTATCTAACAAAATGACATATATATATATATATATTTGATTTGATTTGATTTTTTAATAAGGCTGACCAACTAAATATGTACATAAAAGGAACTTATAATATCACGATTTTTAAAAAAAATACATTATACATATGCATTTAAATTAAAGCTATGCACAGCATTTTTTAATGATAAAATATGTTGTTTTACATAATACATATTAAATTTTTAAACTTTTTTTAGTACAGACAAAAATATGAAAGAATTAGAAACCAAAAATAAAAACACTAAAAACTAAAAATGTATCTTGCAACAATCAAAAATCGATTTTTTAAAAGTAGCAGGTTCTTCACAAAAGAAATCTAAATTACAATTTTAAAATAAAAAGTTATAATTTTTAACAGTGTACAAATAGGAGAGGAACTACCATATTTCCTTCTTCTTAAGGACATTGAGAATGGTTTATAATTATGCAGACGAGCCGTAACTCTAGGAACTAATATATTAATATATTAATTTGTGATAGCAGAGACGGACAATCCACTTCATGGTTTAATAATTTATATAATAACATCATAGATAGCTGTTCCTTACGTTGCCTTAATGAAAGCATATTAAATTGGTTTAACCTATCAGAATAACTATTAACGCTGCGGTAACTACCATTGATAAAAGAGATTCTGTTCACAAACTTTTTTTGAATCTTTTCGATACGCTGAATATTATTCTGATAAAATGGGTACCAAACATAACTACAATAATCCACATGGCTACGTACTAAGGCGAAGTACAAAACTTTCATTGCCTGAACAGATTTCAATTCTTTAGAATTTCTATAGACAAACGCTAATACATACTAAAACATTTGTTAACCGTGTTATTACATATAATATGGTTTGTGAATCTCATTTCAGAATCGAGAGCAATATCCAAATCTCTAACCTGATCGACTCTGTTTAAGATCGTTCCGTTTATGTTGTAAGAGCTTGGAATTTGTTAAATTTTCGGGAAAATTTTATATGACAACATTTATTAGTGTTCAAAGTCATACCGTTCAGTCGACACCATTCCGTAACCCTGTCTATGTTCCCTTGAAGTTTTAACTGATCGATATATTTATATATATATATATATATAATTATTATTATTATAATTAAATGTAATTAAACTTAAAAAAGTCTTGAAGTTGTATATAAAATACGAAGAAACTTTTTCCCTGACCTAATAAATAAATCTCAAGAATCGAAAGTAAAATACAGCTTGTTTAATATTCAAACTTAAAAATTTAAGGAATTTCGGTCGAATTTCGAACCACGAATTGACAAATATTTATGTATTTGTTTTGTATCTGCTATTGTAATTTCATTCAATATACAAACATTTGTGAAAGCCGTGACTAGCGAAA